AGAAATTCCCTTAATTAAAAAATATCTTTATAAAATATAATACCTCGCTTCCCTCTAGTGCTCCTGAGGAGCGCCTATTTAGTATTGCAAAAGAGGTCTTAGGGGGGAGGCATGAATGTATGTTAGATTCTAATTTAGAAAATTTATTACTTTTAAATGCTAATAAAAGGTTAAAAATATTTTGATAGATTTTAATATAAATAAAACTTTTTGATAAAAAAATATGATTTTGTTTCGTATTTCTTCTAAAAAAATGAAAATCAAAGGAGCGATTATGGAGTGGCACTCCATTACTTGAAGCGGGAGCTAGCTCCTTTTAAAAATGTAGTAGCGGTAGCGGGAGCTAGCTCCTCTTGAGAAGGTAGAAGCGGGAGCAGGAGTTAGCTACTTTTAAAAAGGAGCGTTAACAACTTTGCTTATTAGTAATGTATTACGATATTTCTGTGCATTTTGAAACAAAAAATATTTAAAAAATTAACACCCTATTTGAAATAAATGTTAATTATGACACAATAAAATACTAAAATTTTTTGAAATTGCAAAAAAACGAAAATCTTGTGTTGTTAAAAAGTGAGTTTTTACTGCTCAGACCTTGAATCGGAGTCGTAAAAATTGGCTCAGGCTCAAGCCCACTCAGGAGTTAGATCAAGCCGGCACTGGAACTTCTCGAGTGTAATTTTGAGCCAAAGTTTATATATATATTTACTATTTAGAAATAATATAATAAAATAATCTAGAATTTGTGTACCATGCCAAGCTGTTTTTTTTGCTTTTAAATTTTTTTTTACATAATAATTTATTTTTTAATATAGAAATTAAAATATAAACAGTAATTTCTAGACAATCCAATCGCTCAAATTTTGATGCATCTGCGATTGAGGATTTTTATAAAATAAATATTTTTATAAAATAAACATTTTTATTCCCCTTATTGATAAATTTTAATTTCAATTAAAGAAAAGTATATTATTCATAATTTTATATTAAAAAGCTTTTATTTTCTTTTGCCAGTTGAGTCTAACTGTTGATTACATTTGAAACACGAGAGGATAGTAAGAAAATCTTTTAGGCTGATGCAGTAGTCTCACATATGATAGTTACTTTGTGATATCGAATTTTGGTAAAAAAATCTTGACAGAATAGAGTATTCTTGAAAATCAAAAAATGTTATGCAAGCTCTTTCCATGTGTAATTGCACCTTAGATTCCCTGCCTAAAATATCAAAACATTATTAATTATTTTAGCTTCACTACCAATTCGTATCTTCACTAATGAAAGATCTTTTTCAACTTTAAAAAGGTTAAAAACTTATTTTAGAGATACCACCGGTAAAATACATTTAAATGTAAACCCCCCTACTAAATATTTATAGGGAGATTGTTATAGATAAAAATTTGATTCTAAATGAATTATCCAAATCTCAAAGAAAAGTAACCTCATAATCAAATTTTTTCATAAAATGAATTCTTAATTATAACATTTATATAATTTTTGTATTAACTCATAAAATTTATGCAATTAATCAGGGTTGGCAAGTCGGTCAATTGACCTGGTCAAACACTCTAAAAAAAATCTGAAGAAAAAAATATTAAAAATATCTTTAAAAAGAGAAAAATGATATAAATACATGTCATCATAATGTATTATTTTTAGGTCCCCGAAGGTGGTGGAGACTAAATTATTTTAAGTGATATAATTAAGTTCAGAAGTATAAACGACATGTTTAATAGTTATATGGTAATCAGTAATTTCCGTAAGAAATAATCAATTCCGTTTGCCAACCATGCCCAATTAAGAGACTACCAATTCCTAGTTTTATTTTTTTTTAGAAAGAAATAGGTTGATTTGGGATATTCTTACAAAAATAGAAATCGATTGAAGATCTTGACATCAGGAAAATCGATTAAAAATATTAAAGAAAATGGTAATATTGAATATGAATCAGAACACTACTGAGAGCTAAACATTAGTTATTGAATTACAATGAATTTAAAAAATTGATAATATCCATTCATTCTACTATTATATTCAAAATAAAGTTAATATTGACTTAAAAAAACATTTATTTGAATTTTAGTATTTGACCGGTCAAATACAAAGTACTGTGTATATTTATATTTAAAAATATCGTCTTATTTTTATCATTATTTGAATCACTTATATTTTAAGTAATTGTTAAATTACTTTTTTTTAGAGTTTTTATACAGTAAAAATTTTTAATATTATAATTTGTATAAAATATCTACATTTTGAAATTTATTTTAAATAATAAAAATATATGATGAAATATTCTCTAAAATTTTGTTATATCCATATTTAAAATAAAAAATATATTCTATAAAGAATAATCTGGCTTCTAACAAGAATTAAATATATCAATTTATTTGACAAAATGTAATGATATCGCAAGATAAAAATTTAAGCCCAACCCTGTTCGAAAAAAATATATTAGGCCCTAATCGAAATTATTTTTTTAAAAATAGGGTTCGGGCCAAGGGTATAGTGCCATCTAAAAGTTATGGAACAAATTTAGCTAGCTCATGCTCATCGAGCTAGCTTAAATTTTTTCCCTCAAAATAGAGATGGCACACTATTTCTACATAATTATAATATTAAAATTCTTATTCACAAATAAATAAATTTCTGCTCAAAAGTCGGCTTAAGTCAACTACTGAGCCACTTGAGTCTGAGTCGATTTTTCGACTCAAAAACTGACTGAGTAAAGGGCTAAGTTGGTTTGGCTCAGCTATTTAACAATACTAATCTTATTACATTAAAACGAAGGTTAAACAAGGTAAAAAAAAAATATTAATTATAATCATCGTTCGTTACAAATTTTCGGCCTAATAATTTTACGTCTTTTATATATTAAAATAAAATTACTTGTTGATGTACTTATGCAATATGTTCTATTACACAGAGAGCATTTCCTATGCCCATTCTTCGGTGTTTCCACAAATATTTTTTTGCAAAGATCATTGCTAGATTTCAACGGGATCAAAATTTCATCTAATATCTTTAAAAAATTATCATTTATATGATTTTATAACATAGCTAACAGAAATATAAATTTACCTGAAGATCTTCACCAAATTGAGATTGACTATTCAATAGTGAAGATTCAAAGAAATTTGTGGAATCATCCAAGAATGATAAACTGTCTGATGGGGTGAAAATAATGTCATCCTGATCCATAATTTAAAAAGTAATCAATTTTTTAAAATTAAAAAAAATTTATTTTAATAAAAGTAATAAAAATTTTATTTTAATAAAAGTAATTTAAACACATGCATATATAATTATAATCTTTACAAATGTATAACAAAAGAAATAAAAGAAATTTCAATATTGCTTATAAAACTGAAAAATATGGTCAATATGTTTCATTAAATCATCACAACATATTATTATATAAAAGTTATAAAAATATTATATTTTAAAATAAAAATATGTTGGTTTATATATCGGGCTGCAAAGAAAACTTTATTCGAACGAAAATGTAAACATAGGAACAAAATAAAACTTCACTTCATTTTATAATTTAAAAAAAATATCAATTTTTTTTCAAAATATTTTTTTTCTTTTAAGATATTTTTCTGGCATTTTGTTACACCCTTTTTGATTATTTATAGATATTTTATAACAATTAAATAAAATATATCTATCACTCTCTTGACTGTTAATTTCTAAATTAATGTTTTCTAGTTTTCTAAATTAATTATATCTTACCGATAAAATTTTATTTTTTATGATAATGTTTATACATCCGTATAAGATTAATATTCATCATGACTAGGCACCTTACCTTATAAACCCAAATAGTATGATAAAGGTATATAAATTTGATGTTAGAAAAAAACTATGAGAAGCAAAATATAATTTTTTCCGATTACAAAGTGAAGTTAAGAATATATAACGTAAGGAAAATCTATCAAGTCATATGTATTTTACTGATTACATAATATTTAGTTTAAAATACAATATCAAAAATGAAATTTTTTTAAACTAAATAATTAATAGCTATTTTGTATTTAGAAGATATAATTTTTATTTTCTTACCCTTTTCTCCTTCACACCCCTAACTATACCTCACTCTAGAACTACATATTGGATAGGGCGTAATTCCACTCATTTTGATAAATATACATCTGTACAAGTGTAGGTATCCCTGAGAAAAAAATTCAGCAAAATTATAGGGAGGGTGGGCCTCCTTATAATTCACATTCGCTTACTTTCGGCAGATCTATAATCAATGTGATAGATAAGATATGAAGATATAAAAAGTTATAATTTACTTATAAATAAATTAAAAAAAACATCTTTCTAATATCAAAAACAATGAACCCGGATTAAAACAAACTAGTTTAATTTTTTATATATTCAACAAATTGACCCAGCAAGCCAACCAAGCAAGCCAACCCAGCAGGCCGACCCAACAAGTCGACCCAGCAGGCAGACCCAACAAGTCGACCCAGCAGGCCGACCCAGTATGCCAACCCGGGTCGGCTCAACAGGCATAATGGGTCGGGCTGTGTCGTGGTCGATTTTTCGACCCTGGCTCTGGGTCGGGCCAATTTTTACGACTTCGACTCGGGGTCGTGGTCGAAAAAAACCATTTAACAACATTAGTTCAATGGAAGTTACAAAAATAATTTCGCGAGTAAATGTAGCAGGTGGTATACTACTTTACGTTGTTTATCAAGAAACCGTAAATTAACAAAGAGGTTTATTGAGGAAATTTAACTAAAATATATTTGGAGGAAATGTAATAAATTAGTATTTATTATAATATTTAAAAAAAATAGAGCCTATGATAATTGATGATTAATTGTTATCTTAAAATGTATAATTTTATTTGAATTTTGAATACTTAGAATGAATATATGATAAAAATATATACTGATGATTACGTTTGTCTTCATGACATTCTAATAGTTTTTTTTAATAAAACCAACTTTTTAAAATATTTATTTATAAAAAATTGAATATTTTCATCTATACTTAATTTCTTATCGTGTTGTTTTGTAAAATGGTTATCTTAGTTGAAAATAATATATCCCATTCACAAGGTCATTTAATAAGGCAGAAAGATACAACATTATATCTTGACGAGATAAGTTTTGGCAAAGGAAATCTCTTGATCAACACAAAGTTTACTAATGTCACTAAATTTATTTAACTTATTTATTAAAAGAAATATAATATGGGTGAATAGTGATAACAAAGGTATAACTCTTAGTTATTTACATCTCTCAGCACATGGAATCAGTAGAGATAAGTCACGAATATCTGAAGAATGTTTATGTTTATTTTACAATAAAAAAATCCAAAGTATATCATTTTATGATTTAAATTTACATTATTGTTTTATGATATATTATTTCAAATTATTTAGATTTATGTGACATGCTGAATATATCAGATAGTATATATATCGATACAACAACGGATAACCAAAATCATATAAATTCAACGTCATTTGATTTTAATGAAGGATTGTTACACAATGATAATGATTCTGATAATGAATATGAAAATACAAATATATATTTAGCTCCCTTAGATAAAGGAACATGTAAAAAATGATTTTTGACTGCATTTATATTCTAATTATTTATAGTAAATAATATCTTAATTATTTTTGTTTAGGATCTAAAATTTATTTAAGTGAAATATAAAAATAAATATTCTACTTGAATAATTAGCATAGCTATAGGAGTATCAAAGCATGCCAAAAATTTACCAATATATTATTAATATCTAGACTTGCCTAAATTAAATTAAGCATGTCTAAAAAATAAAGCTAAGAATCAAATAAAAAAACTATCCTCACATTATTTTGGCTTACTTTGGGCACATCTAATTGAATTAGTGGCAACACTAACAAAAATATAATATATTTGATGTTATTTTTAAAAAGTGGATTCTCTTTATCAAAGTATCAAGGAATTTCAAAGGTTGAATCCAGATCCAGAGGAACCACTAACTAATGAAGGTTTATATAGTTAAATTGATTTATTTTATAATATTTAAAAAGTTAATATTTATATTAAATATAGGTATTAATCCTTTTAATGTATCTATACATACATGTTGAAATTAATTAATATATTAATTTTTTACAAAAATAAATGCATTTCAAATGTCAAATTGGTCAAATTTCTATTTGGCTTGAAATGCATATGAAGTTCCCAATTTGTAATGAATGATAATTAATTTAAATAAATGTATTTATGTATTTATATTCTATAAATATTAGAAAGGTATTAATTTATATAATAAAAATATTAAAAATAAGTTTAAATATAAATTACAAATAAATTGTCCATCTTATAATAAAGTAAAATTTTTTATCTTTTATAAATTAAATTTTTTAAAATGATTATTTGTCTGCATATATTTTATAATATTGTTAAATGATGTATGGGAAATCATTAGATAAAAAGATAAGTAATATGATAATTGAATATTATAAGCAAGGATATCCACAATGTAATTTTTCTTTAGGGAATAAAGTTAACTGTTCTACAAAACTACCATTCAAGAAATAATAAATTGATCTAGCCCTAATCTTTATTAACTGTCAATTCTAAAGTAGAAGATGGTGTTTAAAATAACCATGTGTCAAAATGCACACAGTGCCAGGACCCCTCACTAGCTGGCCTTCAACAATTTTTTCCTCTAAAGCAACTACTGCAAAACTTGGCATTCTTTGCAGAATTCTCCTGCACCTTTAAAATGTTCACCACATTAAAATTTTTAGCATTTTAAAATGTAATTAATAATGTGTATAAACAGTATTTGGGTCATTCCATGTCAAATCAATCACTTTTCGGCCGACCCCTTTCGATTTTGATGAAAAATCGTAGGCTGGTTATATATGTTCCCATTAGATTAGAAATAAAATTTTAGCGGATGAGCAACTATATTAGCGGAGATATTTGGGGTTAAAGGTCTAAAAAACGTCTTTTTTTGCTTTTTACTGATGTTAAATAACTAGTTTTTAATTTTAAACTAAATATGATCAAATATTGAATATAATATCAATAGCTAAGTTAATAATTTATGATTATGGCAAAAACATCAAAATTAATTTTTGATAAAATATGGGTCATCTTATGGTCAGTTGAAAACTTGAAATTAATATTTCGAAATGTATATGATCTCCGATTTTTAATTTTTTTAAGAAATATTATCCGCTTACTATTTTTTTAATAATTTCTTCAACAATTAGCATGGCTGGATATTTATTTTAAAAAATATTGCGATTTTTATACTTTAAAAAAAATAGATGGCGCTATATATAATAGTTTTAATATGTTAAAATTCATTTTTTTATTGATTAAAAATATTTTAATGTATATATATCATACTAAATCGATTACAATGTCCATTATATATATTTATTTGTAATTCAGATCATAAATTTTTAAAATCTTCACAAATTTAGCCTAATTAAGATAGTTTATAAATTAATTAAATCTTACTTCATCTAAAGGAACACAAAGCCTGGCTAGCTTGTGAGATTTCTTCAGGAGATAATATATATGTTCGACCGGTGGGAGTAGAAGGATTGACCAGCGAAAGAATATGAGATTTAGGTAACACTAAAATATCATCTTTCAGGGGAAATTTAAATGAGGCTGAAGGTCCACAAGGGTGTAAAAATCGGATTTTTACTTCTTCATTTGTATCATATTTATCGATTATATATCCTAACCACCATTTATCATCATATACACATGTTACATATCCATTAATATTTTTAAATATAATTTTTTCATTTAAAAACGAAACTTGTTTTATATTATATTTTTTAGAATTTGAATATATTTTGGTTTTTAGTCTATTTTGATCAATGGGAATAACCCCGTGAATTTTTAAGGTCCCATGTATGGGCAGCGCAGAATTAAATCTTTTGCGAAGGGCTAATTCCCCTTCGATATATTCTTGATTGGATATATATTCAAATTGAATTCCATTAATATTTTCTTTAGCATAATTATATAATTCTAATGGGGTTAGGATTTGATTTTTATTTGGCCTTTGAAGACTAGCTCTGGCAACTAATCTTTTGACAGTTCCCCCGATACCGTCACATGCATTTTTGCCATGAGCAGTGGCAAAGAAATGCCATTCGGCAGGAATATTAAAATCATATTTATGAAGGCATATGTTCAGAAAATTTTTGCGATTCTTGTATTGAGACGCGGCTCCATCTGAAAAATATATTATTTTTTCTGGTTTAGAATTAAATTTGACTGTTAAGAAATTAAGAAATTTTTTTGGTAAAGGTGGACTGCACTAGTATTATGGTTTAATGATTCGGATATAATAACAAAATTTATATTTTTTAAATCTTCTCCAGATTTATAATATGCTACAAATGGATGTATAGTGGCCTGCACGTTGTTCCAATGAAATCCCTGAACTTCATCTTGTAAAATGAAGGAATAATTTTCAGAATAATCTAGAATTGTTAAAAATTCCCCATCTTTTAAATTTTCTTTGGAATTCTTCAAAAATAAACTTTGTTGTTTAGCTATAAACGAGTGACGCAGTAAAATTTGAACTTTTTCTAATAAATAATCGATGAAATCATCAACGGACTTTATAATAGTTTCAAGATTTGTTCTATCCACCGTGATCCATTGTTTAAACGTGACATATTCTATACGATTTCTTTGAAACAATTGGTATAATTGTCCCTTAAGAGATTCTATACCAGGGCATTGATCACAATTTGTTAAATAACATTTTGGCTGAGATGGATTACAAATAATTTGCGCCAATAGATAGTTGTAAGAATTTATACAGTAATCTTCTCCTGCTGTAATTTCAGCTATTACATTTGTCATTAATTTCACATTCTGATGAATAGCGCAGACACAAACAGTGTGTGTGCCACTAGCTCCAACTAAAATACAGTTTTTTGGTCTAAGTTCGGCAAATTTAGAGAATCCAATTGATATATTTGGGTATTCTTCCTTAAACATCTTGAATATTTCTTTAAGATTATTTAATATAAGTCTTTTTTGAACTGGTTCTTTCTCGCCTTTAACAGATACACAATCTTTTATTCCTGGCATGAGTCGGCTTATTTCATCAGAACTATAAAAATCCTTGACGAGTTTAAATGTTTTTTCGTTTAGTGTCTTTCCTGCCTTATGTTTTGGAAATGAAAGAATTCCACTTTCTTTTACCATCATTTTAGATTTTCTTGCCATGTATGATGTTACGTTGAATTCCTTTTGAATTTTATTTACACTCCATCCTTGAGGCAAAATTGTAAGAATTTGATATTGTTGATTTTTTGATAATTTATCAAAGTTATCCTTTAATATATAATAAGAATTTCCTCTTTCATTGGACTATCAATCTCGGAATCAGATATTTCTAAAACCTTACTCTTTATTGCTTTTTCAATCTTTTGAATTTTATTTTTAGGATATTTTTTCTCCATTAAACGTTTTCTTTTAATTGGTGATTCTCCAATATTGTGTAATGTTTCATTAATCGATTCAAAGGCATCCTGATTATGGGTTATTGGGGATATAAATTCTTCGGGAATATGTGGACCAATTTTACTTAACTGGTATCGGCACGAATTACATATTTTTTGTTGAAGATATAAATGATTATTTATATTAAGCATCCATGGAAGAACTGATCTTAAATTTTTTTTTAAATTTTTATGATTAACTTTATTCAGTGGATTGCAACATTTTATCTTATCTTTTAAGGGTTTCATTTAAAAAAATTTATTTATTTTTAAACGACAAGTAAAAATATTTATATGTAAAAGATATGAATCGGTGTTTGTGAAAAAATATTAAAGAAATCAATTTGTATTTTTAGCAACTGTGATTTATCGATTAAATTCGCTAATTAATTTTGCTAATCAGTTTATTTTTAATAATTTTAAGAAAAGATAAAAACAGCTGACTTACTTTTATTAATTTTTTCAGTGTTAAACATATGCTCAAAATTCAAAGACTTTGATCAAAAATTTTATAGAGAATGCTCAAATTCATTTGATACCCAAAATTTTATAACTAGTTAATTTTTTGTTAATTATATCGCTTAAAATTTTTTTAAAAATCTTTGAAATTTTCTGGTTAATGACAATTTTATAACATTCTTGGTCTTGATGGGTATGACTTAGTCTGGAGGGGGGGATGGGGGGTAGGCCGGGTAATTATATGATTTTCGATTTTTCCCTTAATAATTTTCCTGCACTCCTTTAATCCTGCTTTTTTGTTCGCATGTTAGTCGGATTTTTTAATTATTTTTAATTTACATTGAAATATTAAAAAAATTATTAAAAATTTTTATCCTGCGAATATCTCAAGGGAATAAGGTTTACAAAGTTATATAATCTAATTTTATGATATATTATACATTAAAATATTTTTAATCAATAAAAAAAATGAATTTTAACATATTAAAACTATTATATATAGCGCCATCTATTTTTTTTAAAGTATAAAAATCGCAATATTTTTTAAAATAAATATCCAGCCATGCTAATTGTTGAAGAAATTATTAAAAAAATAGTAAACGGATAATATTTCTTAAAAAAAATAAAAATCGGAGATCATATACATTTCGAAATATTAATTTCAAGTTTTCAACTGACCATAAGATGACCCATATTTTATAAAAAATTAATTTTGATGTTTTCGTCATAATCATAAATTATTAACTTAGCTATTGATATTAGATTCAATATTTGATCATATTTAGTTTTAAATTAAAAACTAATTATTTGACATCAGTAAAAAGCAAAAAAAGGCGTTTTTTGGACCTTTAACCCCGATTATCTCGGCTAATATAGTTGCTAATGCGCTAAAATTTTGTTTATAATCTAATAAGAACATATATAACCAGTCTACAACTTTTTATCGAAATTGAAAGGGGTCGGCCGAAAATCTTGATTTTTTTGCTCATTTGACATGGAATAACCCATTTGTTTAATTTTTTTTATAATAAAAT